GCCCTGATTGAGTTGTGTAGTCCATATGTTTTTGCAGTGTAAGAGTTGCAGATTACATGATAGCAAAGAGAATCAGAAATAATTCTAATGGTGTTTGAATTGCTGTCCTAGCATTTTGCCTGTTTTGTGAATTAATAGCAGGATTGTCAAGAATCTCTATGACAATCAGTAGAAGTTATGTTTCTGTATTGGGCATTGCTTCACACGACTGTATGCTGAAGGAGAGACATTTTTGTAAGTCCTCTAAATGTGCTTCTCTCCTCATTTTTTAAGATGCCAATATATACAATACGGTAGCACTGAAAGGGTAATGCTACCTCAGAATTAATAAACACAGCAGTTTGAGAGGAAGAAGACAAAAGGTAAACGACATTTTGTTTGCTCCTGGACATTTGTTTCAAAGCAAAACAACTTGAATGGTTTTCACCACATTGCTTGAAAAGCTGTCCCCCCCACCCCACTTACCTTCTCTTCTTTTTAAATTCCTAACTGAAATGTTGATAAGCAGCACATAGCAATCAATTGCTGCAAATCTTTATAGATTTCTCCTTTAAAGAATGTAGAAAAGTGGATTTAGCCAACTTCTAGGTCTAAAAAATAAAGCTCAATTCATCATAGATTCCAGATCTTGGGCATTTTTCATACTGAAGTGCTGCATGTAACAGAAAGATGCCCAGAGCTTGCAAATAGTTTGATGCTTAGATCACTTAGCTCATAGGGAAAGTGGAAAAATGTTTTTGATGCTCATCTCTCTGTGGAATTGGGTGTTCTTATTCATGGTATTCCAGCAAGCAATGTCACAGTGGTCAAACAGAAAATCTATTGATAGACCCATTTAATCATCAGTTTGATCATCATACTATAAAAAAGATGTTGAGATTCTAGAACAGGGGTGTCAAACTTGTGGCCTGTGGGCCAGATGCATCATGTGCTGGCCACGCCCAAGCCTGGTTTAGCAAAGGAGAAAAAAGTCCTGATGTGTCACGTGATGCTGCCGTAACAGCGCGAGTTTGACACTCCTGCAACCAAAATGATTAGGAGAAGGGGAGACATGATAACAGTGTTCCAATATTTGAGAGGCTGCTACAGAGAGGAGGTAGTCAAACTATTTTCCCGAAGGACAGGCAAGGAATAATGGATGGAAACTGATCAAGGAGAGATTCAACCTAGAAATAAGGAGAAATTTTCTGACAGTGAGAACAATCAACCTATGGAACATCTTGCCTTCAGAAGTTGTGGGAGCTTTATCACTAAAAGCTCTCAAGAAGAGACTAAACTGTCATTTGTCAGAAATGGTGAGGGTCTCCTGTTTGGGTGGGGGGTAGGACTAGATAACCTACAAGGTCCTTTCCAACTCTGTTAACCAGGAGAGGGTGCTTGGATAATTCCCTGAGAATCTGCTACATCACTCATTTGTGAACTTAGTCATTGATGACAGCCTTGGATCAGATTGTGCCTATTCAGCCTTTCACTTTTGAGAATCTTAAGGATCTCTCTAGCTTTCAGAAGAGTTCCAGGGTATGAAATAACAGAAGAGCCATCTGGAGTGCTGCTGTAGAAAGATCAGGAGCAAATCTAACCAAATATGTATATACAGTTATATCATGGCAATAGAAGTAGCAAAATAGAATAATATTTTCCTATCATTGTTGCACCTGCAGTGCTATTTGGCAACTTTGTTCAACAAAACCAAATCCCTACAAAGCCGCTGAAAATTATTTTAGAGTTCTGATAGTTAAAGTCTCTTGGACCCATTCTAAACTTCACTCGAGTTGTGCATATCCTGTTGAGACAGTTTGAAGTAATAACTCTGAGGTAATATTCAAACTGGTGAACATCAAAACTGTTCCAAGGATGATGTCTTTATTATACTGATTAGCCTTGGCATTACGTATGATAATGGAAAATTATCATCAACATGAATCTAGAAGACAAACAAGCAAATGTTATGACCAGCTGAAATGGAGAGTGAACCTCTCTTAATTTCATACTAACAACCAGGAATTACTTGGAAGTGGGGTAGGGATTTTCACCTTCCTCCCACAGTAAATATCCTGCTAAGTTTCTGGGTGTTTGTTAAGAATGGATTCATCAGTGTTTCTATCCAGCTTTTATTTTCCTTCATCAATCCTGGGCAAAAAAACTCCCTATTTTCTTTTCTACTTCTCTAACTTAAAAAAAAAAAAAAATCTTAATAGGAAGCAAATGAATGTATAAAAATTGAGTTTTTTTCTTCCTTTCTTGAAAATATATAAATATCATCAATATTTTCTCATGATTTTCCAGAAAAAATGTCTCATGTATGGAACTGATGTGGGTGTACTTATCTCAGTAAACTTTCATTTAGGGTTGCCAACATAATTTCCCTTGAATTATGATATTCTTTACAGAACATTTTATGCACTATGCAGAGGAGAGAAATCATTATTATTTAGTTTATTTCATTTAGTACCTTGTGGAAGTTGTTTTATTATTGACATGCAGTGGGTTTGAAAGAGTTCCATACTACATTGAATAATTTTATTCATGTATATATGCACACACATTTAAGGCAATATTCTCTATAATCCAAATCCGAACCCAGATTAAAGTTCCTTAATGATTCAAGATGTGAAAGGTTGCAGAAACAGACACATGCTAACTTCCCAACTTCAATATAGTGAATATATTCAATATCCTGAAAAAGTGGTCTGAGTCCAATAATCGTATTCCCGTGCTTCCTATAGATGGAAAGCTAGCAGTACTAACCTAAAGCCAAGTCTTGTCCATGTACATAAGAATAATTACACATTTTTCATTCATGGATGAAACATGAATTTTTATTCTAGTGTCATACATGTGTAAATCTTGTTCAGATACATTTAATTATAATTATATCTGTCTTTTTTCTGTGTGTCTTTCCCTCTTTTGTTTCTGTCTAAATGTAAACAACAAAAAGGACAGTATTTTCTTTTACTCACTTCATAAGTGATTCTTGTATTATGACCAAGAATATGAATTTTGAATAATTTCCCCTTGATCCCAAACTGTCTAAAACATATAAACCTCAACCAACCCAATGAAGCAAGTAAATTCAGAGCCCAAAAACTTTATAAATCATAGTTTTTGTCCTTTGGATGATCTGTATGCATATGCAGCTATTGAAAGTTGTGAATAAGTTACTAAATCAAAGGCAAAGTACATTGAAAGGGAATCTTCTTATACTAATACACAACAAAAGAAATAAAATAAGTCTAGATTGCTTTGGAAACAGTGCACAAAAAGAGAGGGTCAGAATACATAATTATAAGCCCATCAACTTTTTTTTCTGAGCAGCAATGTCAATTTTCCTTGTAAAACCAAAATGAAACATTTCTTTGTTTCTCAAGCACAGGCTTTTAAGAAGATATACTATCATTCTGTTAAGAGGATAAAAATGGCTTGTTTGATCTTCTGAATGTTAATGTGTTGAAAAGATTATTGGAAATAAGATTGCATTCTCTGAAGTGAGAAAAACATTATTCAGATATCTTTAATTACAAGACAAGTTGTTGTCCCTCCTACCCTTTACTGCATTAATAATGGGTTCGTTCCTCAATTTGGTTTTGTAACAGAGTGGCTTTAAAGATTTGAGAAGTTATAATAATGCATTATCAAGAATTTAGCTCTTACATTCTTATATCTGATGAATTATTGATGCATTGTTTACTATGCTGTTTCTTTTCTACTTCTATGATGTAATTGATATTAAATACACAATTTTTAATTGTGCCAAATTAAAAGATTCAATAACAAAGCTTACTACTCTACTATCCAAATGCTTGCCTGAGGTGGAATTATTTGTTTTTTATATTCATTTATCAAATGTACATAGCCATTCATCTCACGTATGTGACTCATCAAGATACAAATAACTATTTACATATAATTTAATTTGGAAATTCAATTTTGCTTCATAAGAACTTGTTCCTAAATGTGCTTTTATATAAAAACCAATGAACAATAAGTAGGGAAGTTTTTATATCTTAGTTTGGGTGGTTCTCCACATCTTGAACTATAATTTTCAGAAATCATGGCAAGTACAATAAAGTGTGATAGAAGCTATAGTCCAGCAATACTTCTAGGTATATAAATTCCATACTTGTGTTCTAGCCATAACCCAACATTCTGGATTTCATACTGGAAGTCATCAGTGATGTAAATATTGCACATTGTTGTGTTGTTATCACTTCCAGTCATCAAATAATTTATAAGTTTTTTAAAAATTACTCCTGCTCCTAAAAGAGAATGGATCACTTCTCAAAAGAGACGTATAATGTGGATTTAAATGTGGATTTAAGACAGTCCATTCTCCAGTTAAGTAATTTTTGCGGGCCAGAAATATAAGGGAGTCTCTGGAATGAGTTCTGCCAGTTAATTATAGAGATTATTAAGTGTTCCAGATAATTTATGCAACTTCTATCTGATCTAGAGGTTGGACCTTCACTTACATTTCAGATTTATAATGATAATAATGGCTGAATCATCATCATCATAATATTATTTGAATTTTAATAAAATATATTAACCAACAGTTAGAACTGATCTCCTTCTGTGCTCATTGGCTGAAAGCTTTTGTGAAAAATTGCAATTAATTTTAAAAATGCAATTATGTCTTTGCTAATTAGCTTAATGTAACAGTTTCCTCTTCTTGATATGTAATAACATACCTGATAGCAACATGGTGTAATGTTACTGAAAAATTAAGTAATGCTTACTAAAAGTTTTCGAGTGACTTCTCTTGGGCCATATTATTTCTGAGTACATTATTGTATTATTGTTATTAATAAAGCAGTATTAATTAACTGATAGAATACCTCTCTCTCTCCCCCACCCCCACAATTCAGATTCATTGTAAATATTTTCTTTCTGTTTTCTATTTAACTTTTTTCTTGTTTTTACTCCTTTGCAGCAAATTTGCTGGATTTCTTTCGGTTTGCTGCTGTTAAATCTGTGTTTTTTTTCTTTGTCAATTACCACAGGTTTAGTCCCTATGAGTGGTATAACCCACACCCTTGCAATCCTGACTCAGACGTGGTGGAAAACAATTTTACCTTGCTAAATAGTTTCTGGTTTGGAGTTGGAGCTCTCATGCAGCAAGGTATACGATTCAGTCTGCTATTTCTCTTGGGTGCCATGTCCCACTTTTTGCTGGGGGTAATCGTTCTATTTTTCTCTGGCATAAACCACTTGCATGGGTACCTCTGTGCATGTATCCATAGACCAGCTTATTTTATTTTTTTTAATGAACAGGCTTTCAGAAACAGTGGCCAGGAAACAAACATAAATCAAAACATCAGCAATTTCAGAAAGTTCCAATCTAATCCCAGGAGGAAGTACATGCCATTAATGAACACAGTAACTTGCATTCTCCAAACACTAATATCTACATTAAGCAAGAGCTGAAAGCATGAACCTCTCCTATCCTTATTATGGTCTACTTTCTAATATTAACTTCCCCCTTCTGTACTTAATGCCATTTAGTCCATGTTTAATAAATGTCATCCCTGTGCACCTTATTGGTTGCAAACAAGCTGCATTTGAGAAAAAAAGGAGATTAATGAATGACCATTAGTGCACTTGACAGAATAAACATTGATGTATTGCATGCTATACTTTACCTGAAAGGAAAGATATAAATGACTAAAATATAAATGGTTGCTGAAATAAGATATGTTAATAGATATATTAACCTCAGAATAAACCATAATAAATAAATCAGTCTGGATGGATGGAGGTCGTAGGTCATACAGCGCATGCCACCTTTAATTTGCTGTGCTCACTTTGTTATTTTTTTTTCTTTTGGGGCATCTACAAGATTGTTAACCTAAGCAATAGAAACTCAGTTTCTAACAAAGCTTTCTTAATACAGTATAAGCTTTCATTGCTCATAAACAAATTTCAGTATAATGCCTGCGATTTAAGTACTCACATTAATTCTTTTAAGATATATACATACACACACACACACACACATCTTAAAAGAATTAAGAATTTTATATGTATACTTCTACTGCTGCTTCCTGTCCTTACTAGGTTTCATCCATGTTACCATAGTATATCTAAGAATTCTCTTCTCCTCTTTGGCCATATTTTTTCATCACTATTTTTAAAGAGAGGTTTAGGGAGCTTTAGGGAGGTGTATGCATATGTCTAGCTTTACAGTCAATTTTCAAGAACAAGAACAAAAACTACAGAATATGGATAAAGGTAGCTGTTAGATGAAACCCTTTACTAAGAGATATTAAAAACACCCTTTATCCAAATATCTAGGCCCTGAACCATGAAGAATTTTAAATTTAAAACTTGAATTGCACTGGAAGCAGGGGTGGGATTCTACCAGTTCACACCTATTTGCTAGAACCTGTTGTTAACATTCTAAGCAGTTCGGAGAACCAGTTGTTAGAAGAAATTACTGGGCTAATCCTGTAAGGAAGGCAGGAAGAAAACATTCTAGTGCTGCTTACAGAAACTGCCTCTCCATTAATCCTTATTACATTCTTGGCAGGACTAGATTTCCTGTCTCAGGAACGTCTCTGGAGTTTTTTCCCCCCTCCTTTGCTGATACTTTGCTTGTGTGGAGTGACCATTCAAAGTTACAATGGCACTGAAAAAAGTGACTTATGACCATTTTTCACACTTATGACTGTTGCAGCATCCCCACAGTCATGAGAGGCCAGGCGAGGAGATGGGTGCCTCGATGTGAGTGATATTGAGTTGGCCATGCCCAGCCAATAACATGACCACCAAGCCACGTCCACCCAGTCATATGACCACCAAGCCACACCCACCAACTAAGCCAGGCCCACAGAACCGGTTGTTAAAAAAATTGAATCCCACCCCTGACTGGAAGCTAACTGGGAACCAGTACAGCTCTCAGAGGATAGGTGTAATATGGAGCCTTGAGGCCCACCCACAACTACTTAAATTACTGCATTCTGTAACAGCTATAACTTCTGAATTCTCTTTAGAAAATAAAGTATGTGAAAATAGTCCACTACTTAGAAATGCTTGCAATTCCAGGAAAATAGCAGAAAGTGAACATGCAAAAAGAAAAGTTTTCCAGCAAATAAAGACTATGTAACCAATCAGACAAACAAACAAAAGGGAAACAATGATGATGGGCACTGGCTGATTCACACAACACTGTGGTATACCAAGATACGTAAACTGAATAATTTCCACATAGAGAAGAACATAGTTCTTATGTGAGCTGAATAGCACTGGCTTCACATTTCACACTGACAAGTTTCTATCTAAATAATTTTCTTTTTAAATAAATTTAACAGCATTTTTGCAGTGTTGTATCTGTTTTCCATGCAGTTTGATGCAGCACATCTGTTAAGTGACAATCTTATTCAGCAGCTATATTGGTATCCTCCTAAATTATAACACCTCCAAAGTATACTGTTGAATTATCTTCAGTGAGCTAACTGAAAAATAGATAAAATAATAATTACAAATATTGTATTTGATGATGTTTAATCAAATTTAAATTTTGTTCTATGTCCACTTCTCTCTTTGAGAGTGATGCCACCACATGCCATTTAAAACAATGTGTAGCCCTCTAACTCAGGGGTCTTCAAACTTGACGGCTTTAAGATTTGTGGATTTCAACTCCCAGAATTCCTCCTCCAGTCATGTTAGCTCAGGAATTCTGGGAGTTGAAATCCACAAGTCTTAAACTTGCCAAGTTTGAAGACCCTTGCTCTAACTATAAAATGCCCCCCAATTCATTCTGACTGAAGAATAGTCATTCTTTAACTAAATAAATAATTTAGATTAAATGAAATCTATAATAAAATAATCTCAATTTCACTAAAATTCAGGAATAATTCTATTTTAAAATGACTCAATTTAAACCAATGGACTTTAATTTACTTATGATGTGTAGGGATAAATTGAATTCTACTAACTAATTATGCATGGATCGCAGCAGAAATGGTTATTGTGGACCCCCCCTTTTTTTTGCAACAATACCTTATCTATTGTTGTTTTAACATGGAAAAACAAAATCTCCCAACATAAGACAAACTAAGTCACTTTTTGTGTAAATCGATGGAAATGGTTTCAGAAATCAGTCTTCATAGAAAGAGACCACCCTATGCTTAACAAAACCAAAAGTCTACTTGTAACTATCTTGTTTCTAATGCACTGACCAAGGAACCAAATGCTGGAGGCTACATGATAGAGGAAACTCATACATTCCTTGCCTGGTTCCCTTACTCCCAGGAAATTGTGGGATATAGTGCTGGACATGACGTTACCTTGGGTACATGACAGTCAGCCCCTAACCAGGCTCTGTTTTACAGGCTTTGGTGGCACCCTCTTTATATCCTTGGTAAGATACGAACTTGTGGTAATTGGGGCAAGAATGGCAAACATATCTATGTTCTTTTCTTCCAAATCTTGTTTGACTTTTCTAAGTGTCTGTTTTAAAGAAAATAGTATAAGCTCTTGGGCTTATTTGGCACTATTAGTGTTTTATTGTTTAAGTGTCTGACTGACAGGGGATAGGAGCGACTACATCTGAAAGGTACTTTTTTACTTTTTTCCCTGCAGAATTCTAGGCAAAGTCTGGTGCTGGAGTTGGCTGTCATGTCCAAGGCTATCAGCTTTTTTTTTGTTTTTTTCTTTCTTCCTTTTCTTTTGTTCATTTTGTTCCGAAATCACAAGGGTATGATGAACTGCAGGGTCAGATGGGCTCTTTTGGATCAAATAGTTTGTTTAGGATATCACGTCTCTCTCTTTCAAAAACAAAAGTTATTTTTTCTCACAAGTCCATACTTGATGTTGAGTTTGGTAAAAGTTCCCTTCACTGGAAGATGAGTTTCACTTCTTTGTTGGAGGAGTTCCTTGGTTGAATGAATAGGAATGTTATAATTGATCAGGAATAAAATAGTCCATCTTCCCTGCGTTTCATTTTATCTGATTAAAAAATAAATAAAACCAATCCCTGCCTAATTAATTTACATTTCTAAAACTTTACTCACAATTACCATTTGTTGCATCTACACCTTGCAAAAATATTTTTCCCATTATGGGAAAATGCATATGTTTATATATATTTGTTCAAGTTACTCAATTTTCCATCAAGAATTTCATGCATGTCAATTGCATTATATACATACATATATATATATATATATATATATATATATATATATATATATATATACACACACACACACACACACACACACACACACACACACACACACACATTTGGCAAATTAAAGGAATGTAAAGGCTACTGATTTTAGCCTTTTCTATTATTATTAAATTGTAATTTGGAATAATGAAGATATTACCAAAATCCCTCTATTTTAATGGTCATGAGCAGGCAACTCCAGCAATTTATGTATAGTCTGACTTGTTTTAAAATAAGCACAATAGTAATATTTACATTGCTTTTGAAGTAAATGGGATATATAGCGTATCCATTTCTATTTACTTTGAAGTCTGAAGCTATGTATAGAAATGGGAGACATTTCATTTTATTATTGACTTGTAACATCTAGCTCCATTATGATGATTTTTATATGATTCCATGATATATTCAGATTTCTTGTATGTTTCTTTGTATCAGAGTTTTCCTGATACTTCCTCCTCCATCATTAATTCTATTATTTCTTAGAGTTTGAGATAGCATCTTATTTGTTATGGAAGTTAAACATTTTATGAGCAAATTATTTAGCTCATAAATGCTTTGAACAGCTTCTGCAAATTTTAACTGACAGGATCAAGGTTATTATTTGTTTTTAAGCTAAATAGAAACTTTCTCTTTTATGACTCATGTCAATGATTGTTTTTCATTACTGCTTTATCTGTCATTTTTTATATGCTAGATTATGATAGCCAAATATTCATTTAGGTCTCCCATTGCTATAACTTGTGTTCCACAATCTTGCAATTTGTTTCAAAAAATACTTTGAGGGGTTTGTGTGTGTGAGTGTGTATAAGAGAGTGAGTGAATGATTGAGTGTGTGTGTGTGTGTGTGTGTGTGTGTGTGTGTGTGTATATAT